GAGGCTCCCCTGTTTGGGTGAGAGAAGTAGGTGTTCCTGTTGGCACTCCAGTTAACTCTTCAGGATAATTTGTATCTGAGAGCACTGAGACTTGAACATGAAAAAAGGAAAAAGACCTGTGAACTTGCCATCATGACCATGCAGTGTGATTGCTGGTCATTGTATGATCAACAAGGTTGTGAACTTAAGAATAATGAAACAATTCATCCCAGAAATAACAATTGAGTTTTTGGAAAGTAGAGAAAACAATAGGGAGAGGATAAACATTTATTAGTGTCTTTTCATATGAGCCGTATAAGACTCCTTTTATTTTATTTTATTTTTAATACAATTTATTGATTATACTATTACAGTTGTCCCATTTTTCTCCCCCTCTGCCCTGTACCTCCCCTGCCACCAGCATTCCCCTCCCCCTTAGTTCATGTCCATGGGTCATATATATAAGTTCTTTGGCTTCTCCATTTCCTGTACCATTCTTAACCACCCCCTATTTTGTACCTACCATTTATGATTCTTATTCCCTATACCTTGTCCCCCATTCCACCCCTCCCCCTCCCCACTGATAACCCTCCATGTGATCTCCATTTCTCTGGTTCTGTTCCTGTTCTAGTTGTTTGGTTAGTTTGTGTTTGTTTTTTTTAGGTTCGGTTGTTGATCATTGTGAGTTTCTTGTCATTTTACTGTTCATATTTTTATCTTCTTCTTTTTCTTAGATAAGTCTCTTTAACATTTCATATAATAAGGGCTTGGGGATGATGCATTCCTTTAACTTTTTTTTAATTTTATTTAGTTATTTTTCAAGTACAGTTTTTTGTCTATTTTTTCCCATCCCAGCCTCCCCCACCCCTTGCTCCCCACCTCCCTCCCATTTCCACCCCCCTTAGTTCTCGTCCCTGTGTCCTTCCTATTTGTTCCTCCAAATCCCTCTCCCATTTTCCCCTTAACTTCCCTTCCTTCTCCCCTCTGGTCACTATCCCTTGTTCTCTATTTCAGTGTCTTTGTTTTTTGTTTGTTTTTTTTTCTGCTTGTTTGTTTGTTTTGTTGTTTAGCTTCCTGTTAAAGGTGAGATCATATGGTATTTGTCTTTCAACCCCTGGCTTATTTCACTCAGCATAATGCTTTCCAGTTCCATCCATGTTGTTGCAAAGGGTAGTAGCTCCTTCTTTCTCTCTGCTGCATAGAATTCCATTGTGTATATGTACCACAATTTTTTGATCCATTCATTTACTGATGGGCACCTAGGTTGCTTCCAACTCTTGGCTATTGTAAATTGTGCTGTTTACACGACTCCACTCTAAGAAGACACCCAACCCAATTAGAAAATGGGAAAAGGACTTGAACAAACACTTCTCCAAGGAGGACATACAGAACATTCAGAGACACATGAAGAGATGCTCAATATCATTAGCTATCAGAGAGATGCAAATTAAAACCACAATGAGATACCACTTTACACCAGTCAGGATGGCTATCATAAACAAAGCAACAAACAACAAATGTTGGAGGGGTTGTGGGGAAAAAGGGTCCTTAGTTCACTGTTGGTGGGAGTGCAGACTGGTACAACCATTATGGAAAACAGTATGGAATTTTCTCAGAAAAATAAAAATCGACCTGCCTTTTGACCCAGCAATTCCACTGCTGGGATTATATCCTAAGAATCCTAAAACATCAATCTCAAAGAACCTATGCATTCCTTTAACTTGACCTTGTCTGGGAAGCACTTTATCTGCCCTTCCATTGTAAATGAAAGCTTTGCTGGATAGAGCAATCTTGGATGGAGGTCCTTGCCCTTCATTACTTCAAATACTTCTTTCCAGCCCCTTCTTGCCTGTAAAGTCTCTTTTGAGAAATCAGCTGATAGCCTTATAGGAACTCCTTTGTAGGTAACCATCTCCTTTTCACTTGCTGCTTTTAAAATTCCTTAGCTTTAATCTTGGGTAATGTAATTATGATGTGCCTTGGAGTGTGCTTCCTTGGGTCCAACTTCTTTGGGACTCTCAGGGCTTCCTGGACTTCCTGGAAGTCTATTTCCTTTGCCAGATTGGGGAAATTCTCGTTCATTATTTGTTCAAATAAGTTTCCATTTTCTTGCTCTTCCTCTTCTCCTTCTGGCACCCCTAAGATTCAGATGTAGAAACATTTAAAGTTGCCCTGGAGGTTCCTAAGCTTTTCTTCATTTTTTTTTTTAATTCTTATGTGTTCATTCTGTTCAGGTTGAATGTTTATTTCTTCCTTCTGGTACAAACCATTGATTTGAGTCCCAGTTTCTTTCCTGTCACTGTTGGTTTTCTGTGCATTTTCCTTTAATTCACTTTTCATAGCCTTCACTTTTTCCTCTATTTTGTAACCATACTCACTCATTTAAGTGAGCATCCTGATTACCAGTGTTTCGAACTCTACATCTGATAGGTTGGCTATCTCTTCATCACTTAGTTGTATTTTTTCTGGAGCTTTGATGTTTTCTTTAATTTGGGCCAACTTTTTTGTCTCTGTGCACCTGTTATGTAGTAAGGGGTGGAGCCTTAGGTATTTGTCAGGGTGAGGCAACTCATGTCTCTGTGTTGTGGTGCTGTATGTGAGAGAGGGGTCCGGGAGGGAACAATGCCACCTGTTCTGCTCTCTGCCAGCTTTCAGTCACTTCCTCCACTACCCACAAGCAAATTGGGCCTTTCTGGTGCTGATTCCAGGCTGGGTGTGTTTGTGTACATTCTAGTACCTTGTGGGTCTCTCCAACAAACTCTCCAGTAAGACTGGGAGTTTCTCCCACTGCTGCCTCAACCCCCACAGGTGTTTTCAGTCAGAGGTTTTGAGGCTTTATTTTCCCGCACTGGAACCCTAGGTTGCATGGTCTGTCTCGCTCCCCAGTTTTTCCTCCCTGTTTATCCTCTTGCAAATGTTGGACCACCCAGTCTGCCAGCCACCACCTCGCCTGGTCTGCCATCTGCTGCCTCACCCGCTAGGTCCTCCAGCCGCCACCTTGCCACATGTACTCTCTGCCTTAGCTGCCTGTCTCCACCCCTTCTACCATCGGGATGAATGTTTCTTTAACTTCTTGGTTGTTGGACTTCCATACACTTTGCTTTTCTGGCAATTCTGGGGGAGGTTTTTTGTTTTTTAAATTGTTGTTTTTCTTTTGGTTGCGTGAGGAGGCACAGTGTATCTACCTACGCCTCCATCTTGGCTGTAATTCCTGACTCCTTTTTAAATAAATTATCCTCATTTGCCATATAAGCCATAGAAAGTAATTTTTATTACCCCATTTTCCGCATGAGGAAACTGAGCCTCAAGGATATAAAATAACTTGGTCATGGCCACACAGCAAGTAACTGGCAGTGTGGTGATTGCCCACGCCTGTCTTCATACAAAGCTCAGGTTCTTTTCCTGGGTATTGCCACTGTGCCAGTTGATGTCTGTCTTTAGAGACGGATATCCACAATAAAAGTGCAGTCTTGAAAGGCAGATGGAAAAGCAAGAGTACAAACAAGGAGAGAAATTTAGCCTAGCAGTCTGTGTCATGTGATGAAGATAAACCCTGAAGAGACTGAGACCATGGACCAAGTACAGAATGCAGTAAATAAAAAAGAGAGTGCTTACCCTGACCAGGCAGAATAAATTGTCTCCCTTAAAATAAGGTAATGTAGTAGTCACAGAATAAATGTACATGTTGGAGGTGGATAGAAAATAACACCTTAATTGCTACAAAAGAATACCTCCACCTACAGTGGGTCAAAAAAAAAAAAAACACTCAAATGATGGACACCAGGCTGTTTTTCTTTATCCTCACCTGAGAATGTATTTTTTGATTTTAAAGAGAGAGAGGAGTGAGGGAGGGAGGGGGAGAAAAAGAGAGACAAGGAAAAATATTGATTCGAGAGAGCAACATCAATCGATTGCTTCCTGTAAGTGTCCATACTAGGGATGGAACCCACAACCTAGGTATGTGCCCTGACCAGGGATCAAATTCACAATCTTTTGGTGTACAAGGTGACACTCCAACCAACTAAGCCACATGGCCAGGGCAACACCAGGCTTCTTTAAATACAATGAGTGAGTGTCTATGAAACATCTAAGGGCCAGCATATTTTAGGACTATATTTCAAGATTTCTCCTCTCATAATCCACTTTTTCATGAGTTTAAATATCTAAGCCTTGATCATACTATTGTGGATATACCCTGTTTTAAATATTTTGTTCTATATCAGTATGAATAGATTTGGTCTAAATAAAGCCTTAGCTTTCTCTCCTCAGTCAAGCCACTCTAATTGTTAAAGCTCATTTGCTCTTCAGTTTATTCAACTCATATTTATATGTTGTTCTAGGAGTTGTCTACCTAGTGTGGATAGTATGTAGGAGTGGACAAAAAGTCAGAGATGAGTAGAACATGATCCCTACTTCAACAGGGCTTCAGAATGCAATTATCATAGAATTTTAGACTCTTCATAAAATGCTGGGAATGCAAGATTGAGGGAGTGCCAAATTTTGCCTGGAGGATGTAGAAAACTTTATACAAAGATAACCTTGAGTAGGCAAGTGTAGATGAGTAAGTAGGAGGAGTTCATGAAGCATATTTGGGAAACTCATCTTCCCTGGACCTTGGCTGAATTTTTTTTAAGGATTCTGATCATGAAGTAAAAGACAGCAAGTTTTTTAAATTACTGAATTCAATTCAATCCAATGGTTGTTATCAAGAAGTTCTCAGGTTGTTTAGAAAAATCATTTTATTTTAGGTCTGATGAATCAAATAATGGAACTAGCACATACCCATGACTTTCTTGAATATTTCATGTCTAATTCTTGTATCCATAATTTAGAATATAGGTGTGTTGTGTGAATGAATAATTTTTCACCCAAATACCTTTTTAATATAGATTTTATAGAATAAAATACCAACTACTACTAGTTTCTTTTGTTTTTTCTTGTAAAAAAAGTTGTAACTAAATATGATTTATGTGTTACTTATAACATTTATTTATTATAATTTTTTTAATTTTTGCTTTCAGTGTAAGACTCTTTCTGGAGTCTGTGACCACATCATATCCCTGTCATCAGATCCTCTGGTTTCACAGTCAGCCCACCTGGAAGTGATTCAGCTAGCAAATATCAAACCAAGTGAAGGGCTGGTAAGATATATCATGCTTATCAAAGTCACCATCCATCAACAGATAGCCAAAGTTGTGGGCAAAGCAGCCTCTGAAATTGGGAATCCATGAATTTTAACAAACTTTGAACATTTTGGTATTTTTTTCTAAAGGAGCTAAGGTAGTGGCATTTTATCATAAGAGGATAAATGAAAATGAAAGACAATTAAACTTGGTGATTTCTGAATTACCCTGTTTACTTTGTTAATAATTTAGCTTTTGTTGCATTCTTTCGTCTCCTGCAAAAGTTCCTTAGGTTTAAAGGAAGTTTAAGTTAAGGGTTTTATAAGAATACCCATGAGAGTGGGTGTTTTGTTTATTTTACTTTGGTTTGTTCTGGTTTTAACAGGCCTCTATTCCCTTAAGGTGATTAAAGTAAACAAATGTGATATTCTTTATAACTAACATCCACTATTTCCTATAAGGGTGAACAAGCTGGTGGATCTTCCAAAAACTAGGCTAACATCCATGAGGTGTATTTTTAATTATGTATAATAAAGGTTATATCTGTATTTTGTTCACCTTATTAAAAATTGTATTGCTTCCAAATGTAACCCAAGGGAGAATGTCTCTTTGTTAAGCCTATAGAAAGAAAGCATACAAAGTCAGTATTAATGAGGGAGAAACAAATGACACATACAAAAGATCTGCTGCCAGTTTTAAGACAGATTTATAAAAAGCAAGGAACTAGCTGGAGAACATCTTACACAACTACTGCATGTTAGGTTGGTGCTACAGAATTTCTAATTTCTCCTTGTAGATCAATTTTCTAAGGATGCAATTAATGATATTTTAGAAAATAGGAGTGAAATAAGCCAGACAGTGAAAGACAAATACCATATGGTCTTACCTGTAAATAGAACCTAATCAACAAAACAAACAAACAAACAAAATAGAACCAGAAACATGGAAATAAAGAACAAACTGACAGTGACCAGAGGAGAGGAAAGAGAGAGATAATGGGGGAAAATAAGGGAAGGACCATCACGGAGCATGTATAAAGGGAACATGGACAAAGCCAAATGGGGTGGGCTTAAGGGTGGGAGGCAGGGATAGGTGGGTCCAGGGACCCTGGAGGGGTGAAAATGGAGACAAATGTACTTGAACAACAATAAAAAAATTTTTTAAGATATCTTAGAAATTGGCATTAATAATTTAATTCAGATTATATGTTATTCAAGATCTCTAAGCAGGTTTACATTTTTATGTGGTGTTAATTCTTCAATTAAATATATGAGGTCTGTCCAGGAGGTATCCAGCCATGTAATATGAAAATTAGAGGCATTTATTGAAGAAGATACAAGAAACATTATACATAGGACAATGACACCTCAGTCCCCTTCAAAGTAGGCACCTTGGGACCTCACACACTTCTCCCAATCACCATCAGCTGCCTGATGAGATTTTCCTGAATCTCATTGATGGTCTGATATCTCTTTCCTTTCAAAGGTGATTTTAGTTTGGGAAAAGCCAGAAGTCACAGGGCACCAAGTCTGAGCTGCAGGGAGCTGAGTCACCTGGGTGCTTTGATGTTTTGCAAAAAAACTCTGCATGGGATGTGACAGGTTAGCAGGCATGTTGTGTGATGAAGCAGCCAGTCACCAGTTGCCCATAACTGTGACCTTCAGAATCATCTGAATAGTTTTCACAGAGGGATGTTCAAGCTTCACTCAAAATTTGATGCAGATCCATTGCTCTACTCAGTCATTTTGAATGCCACAGCCACACAGTACACATGTTCACTCAAGGCCATCTACCACCCCCACTGACTAGTAGAGTGAAGTCGTCATTGTTCATGCATCAACATTCCAGTCCACTCTCCTTGGCTGCCAGGTTATATCAATGTAACACAAACTGCTCTTGTTATATTAACAATGGCTGGACTTTACCACTCCTTAGCCAAACCCTTCATTGGCCACCAATGATTTTTCAGTTTGAAGCCATCTTTTCTTCTAATATTTGAAAAATTACTTTTAGGTAACCATGGTTCCTTGGGCTTTTGTTGTTTTTACTGGTATCTTCCTGAGAGGATGGAAATCAGCATATCAGACATAGCGAGCAAGCATGTCATTATTGTAACCATGTGTTTTATATAAAATTGATTAGTTTTAAGAGTTTATGTGTAACATTTACATATTTTAAGTAATATTTATGATTTTAAATTCTTACTATTCCTTTTAGCCCATTTTAATTTAAAACATCTTTCAACCTATAGTATTAAAGATTTGTCTTTTCTACATCTCCCCTTTCAGTTGTTGTGAAGGAAAGGAACCTCTGTAAGGAAATTTATACAGTGGGAAATTATGAACTAATTACTATGTTATAGTACACTAGGAATCAGGACACCTGGATACAAATCACTTAAATAAATACTGTTGTGAGTGTGACCTGGAGGAGGTTGGGGTAGTAAATTTAACTTCTTTGGCCTTTCTCCATTCATTTTTAAACCTTTGGGAGCAGGAAGGATGAACTAGATCATCTTCAATGCTCCCTCTAATTGAGTCTGCAGTTTTAAGGATGGTATTGATCTGAGAACAAAGACTTGTTTTTCTCCCTCTAATTTCTACCAAAATCATGGTGGAGGGGGGATTGCTATGTGAAGTGAGTCAACACAATGCTAATTAATGGACTTTACAAAATATTGATTTTTAAATGAAGTTATAGCTCTTTACTTCTCTAATTTAAAAAAGGTAAACCTAGGCCTGTTCTTTAGAATAAGCATAAGTATAAAATGCCAAGAAGCAGACTTCTGACAAGATGGAGGCATAGGTGGATACGCCGTGCTTCCTCACACAACGAAGTTTAGAGACAACTAAATATTAGCAACAGAAAACACAGCCAGAACACAGAAAATTGAACTTTTCGGAAGTCCGTTAACAACAAATTCTTCAGCCTGACCGGTAAGAGGGGTGGAACCAGCAGCTGGAGGAGCAGGATTTCACAGGAAAACTCCATCAGACAAACTCAGGCACGTGGAATCCAGGCGCAGGGTTGGACCTGGTGGGCAACTCAGCGAGCGACCACGGGGAAACAGCAAGGGAGCAGGGCTGCGGGTTGACTGTAGTCTCACATCCGTGCGTGGATAGACAAGTGAGGGAGTGGGCAATTGGAAGGGACCCGGCAGGCTCCAGTGGCAAGCGGCAGCAGAGGGTGCCGCCATTTCCCCGCTCTGACCCCGCCTCCACATGTAGCGTCATAACCCAGCGACCTAAGTGGCCCTGCCCTGGTGAACCACCTGAGGCTCTGCTCCTCACCCAGCAGCAAGAAACAGCAGAGGGGGCCACCATTTCCCTGCTCTGACCATGCCCCCACATACAGCGTCACAACCCAGTGACCTGGGAGTCTTAAGCTCCCCTTCTCCTACTTAATGGGCACGAACAGAACAAAAATGGCTCAAGAAGAACTCAAAGCCCCAGAGCCTATAAATCTAAGCGATGAAGAAATAGCAAAACTCTCAGACTCACAGTTTAAAACACTGGTCATCAGGATCCTCACAGAACTGGTTGATTATAGCCACAAATTAGAGAAACATATGAAGATGAAACTAATTGAAATGAATGGAATTGCACAGGAAACCAACAGCCATGAAAAGGAAACTGGGACTCAAATCAATGGAGTGGACCAGAAGAAAGCAAATAATGGCCAAACAGAAAAGGATGAAGAAACAAGAATTCAAAAAAAGGAGGAGAGGCTTAGGAACCTCCAGGGCATCTTTAAACGTTCCAACATCCGAATTATAGGGGTACCAGAAGGGGGAAAGGCACAGCCACCAGTGGAAAACTTATTTGAACAAATAATAAAGGAGAATTTCCCCAATCTGGCAAAGGAAATAGACTTCCAGGAAATCCAGGAAGCTCAGAGAGTCCCAAAGAAGTTGGACCCAAGAAGGAACACACCAAGGCACATCATCATTACATTAGCCAAAATTAAAATGAAGGAGAGAATCCTAGAAGCAGCAAGAGATAAGGGGACAGTCACCTACAAAGGAGTTCCCATCAGACTGTCAGCTGATTTCTCAAAAGAGACCTTACAGACAAGAAGGGGCTGGAAAGAGGTATTCCAAGTCATGAAATCCAAAGACCTACAACCAAGATTACTCTATCCAGCAAAACTTTCATTTAGAATGGAAGGACAGATAAAGTGCTTCTCAGATAAGATCAAATTCAAGGAGTTCATCATCACCAAGCCCTTATTATATGAAATGTTAAAGGGACTTACCTAAGAAAAAGAAGATAAAAAAGATGAACAGTGAAAGGACAGCAAACTCACAGTTATTAACAACCACACCTAAAACAAAAGCAAACTAAAAGGACAGCTAGATCAGGAGTGGAAACATAGAAATGAAGATCTCAAGGAGGGTTAGCAACAGGGGAGTGGGAGGAGGAGAAGGGGGGAGAAGGTACAGAAAATAAGTAGCATAGACAGTAGATAGAAAATAGATGGGGGGCAAGAATAGTATGGGAAATACAGAATCTAAAGAACTTGCGACACATGGTCATAAACTAAAGGGGGGTAATGGTGGGGATGGGGGGGTAGGGTGGAGGGGAATGAAGGAGGAAATAGAACAACTGTAATGGCATAATCTATAAAAATAAATAAATAATTTTTTAAAATGCCAAGAAGCAAATTCAGTTCGTCTGGAAAAGAGCTAAAAGAGAAGAGAATAAATGAGCTCTTGCCATTTTCCAGTTATTTTTCTCACAATTCTGTAGAGTAGGTATTAATTTTCTCGTTTTTGCAAATGATAAAATTGAATCACATATCTTTATCACTTTGCCCTGTATCACAGGTAGGCCATATATAATAGAGACAGGGTTTAAGTCCAAGTAAATTTAAATGAAGTTCATCTGAACAAAGCTTGTCCCATTACCCCATATTTAAATTTGGAATCGCTAAATGGGGATGTGAGAAGTTTAGGAGAATGACTTTAAAACTGGACCTATCTAAAGAGATTTTTTAAAGGACAGTCAGCAGTACTTCAC